GCTGAACACTGCAAAGCACAAGGTGTATCTGTAGTACAAAGCGTCTTGTACACCTCCGTGCACTTTAGAGCAGCCTCTGCTCGTATTACAGTCTTGGTCACGGACGTCAAGAAGGTCGCGGAAGAATCGTTCTGGCCTGACGAAGTTGGCCGTACTGTAAGAGAGTGGCGATTTGGTACAGAGGCCTGGGCTCCCAAACCCGTTCAAGTATAATGGCTCAAACCCCCAACCCACTCCCCTTGAACCCGCATGCTCCAGCCTTTACACCATCGTCTCCTCAACCTTTGGCCCCCGTAAGCCGTTCATATACCCACATAAAGGTTGGCCACATAAATATTTGCAGCCTTAGACACAAAACACACATTATTACTAAGTTAATAGACCAACATGCCCTGGATCTTCTGGCAGTCACTGAAAAGTGGCTTGACTCCAGCATTTCGGACAACGAGGTCTCTGTGCCGGGAGCAATTCTTTTCCGTCGTGATCGGCCATATGCTGAGGGCTTCTCGTGCTTGTCCTCCTGCAGCCCCTGCAGGAAAGGAGGGGGAATTTGCATGGACGTGAATGACCAAGTTAATGTAACTCCTGTCTTGACCCACTCGCATGCCAGTCTAGAATTGATGTGGCTCAGAACCGGCACAGTCAATGATGGTGCTTTGTTCAGTTGCATATATCGGCCCCATCCGAGCCAGTGGAGTACTGGACTCGGCTTGCCACAGCCACAGAACAACTGGACAGCGAAAATGTTGTATTAGTAGGCGACGTTAATGTAGACTTCCTGCATCAGGCATCCAGCGTTTTCCAACATCTCAAGAACACACTGTTACTCCCGTGCGGGATGGCCAATAAAGTCCACGACGCAACCAGAGTCACCGCCACGACACGCACGTCGATTGACTGCATACTGACGAACATCGACCTTGTCACGTCAGCATCCGTTAGAGACTGTGAGTTCTCAGACCATCGCCTGGTCATCAGTACTGTCCCATTGCCCACAGCGGGCACACGGACCTCAGGCCATGCAACAACTCGGAACGTTGCTAGTCGTAACTTCAGAAATTTCGATGAAAATATATTCTGTGCTGCCCTCCAATTCAATTCCATTAACACCTTCACTACCTATGATGTTGACGCAATGGGTGCTGAATGGATGGGGAAGGTCAATGCAGCCCTAGATACAGTAGCTTCAGTGGTAAATACGACCCGAAAAACGCCTAAGAGGAAGCCAAACTACCCATTTTTAACTCCCGAGTTTCAGACAGCAGCTCGGGAACGCAAGGCAGTCTACAAACAGTGGAAGGCTGATGGTTTTCAAGACATTTCCCTTGGAACGATATTCAAAAAATTACGCACGAAATGCAACAATCTATTCCGACGCCTTAAGAATGTATACTTCACGGCCAAATGCCACACGTATGAACGAGAACCGCGGAAGTTCTGGAAGTCTCTGAACATAATTACGGCGTTCCGCTCCGGTCCAACTTGTCAACCTTGATCCCGACAAACTCAATGCATAATTATTTCCATAGTATCGTGACAGACCCTGATGTCTCCTATGACGTGCCACTTGGTCCACGGGCGAACATTGATATGATTGCTTTCAACCCAACCACCATCGTAGAAGTCAAGGCCTTAATAGACAAACTCAACATCCACAAATCCCCAGTTCTTGATAGCATTTTTCCGTTCATTCTCAACTTATCGAAAGAAGTCATCGCCCCCTCGCTGACCGAAATATTTAATGCCTCCCTGTCATCCTGAATAGTTCCGAACCACTTCAAAACTGCAAATATAACCCCGATCCTGAAGTCTTCCTCTGCTCCCCGGAATAGCTCAGCCAACCATCGGCCCATATCGCTCACTTCTATCCTAGCAAAACTGCTTGAGCAGATTGTGGCTTCCCGTCTTGGTGATTTTTGCGATGGTGAATGCCCATTTGATGAAGATCAGTTTGGCTTCAGGAAACATCGTTCCACCGTGCATCTGCTTACGAAAGTCACGAATGACTGGCTCCATGCCCGTGATGGAGGCCTTTCCACAGTTCTAGCCTGAATAGATCTACGGAAAGCGTTTGACACAGTCCGCCACCAAATACTCCTCGAGTCCCTCTCCAGCGCAGGAATTGGTGGAATACCACTGCACTGGTTTGCGTCGTATCTGTCGGAAAGAACACAGCGGGTTGTAACCCAACGTGGATGCTCCGGTACCTTGGTCGTCTCAAGTGGAGTTCCTCAGGGCACTGTTCTGGGGCCTGTGCTGTTCAATTTGTATGTCCGTGAACTCCCCAAGACCGCAGAAGCGCATGGTTGTCATCTCCCCATGTTCGCCGATGGCATGACTCTGTACACATCCCACAAATCTCTTCACCGTGCTGCACAAACACTTAACTTGGCACTCTCGTAACTCTCTGCTGCTCTATCGGACCTTGTTCTAACGGTTAATGTAGACAAGTCTGTTGTCTTGTTCCTCTCCCCATCCCCAGTCCAAATCTCGCCTCCACTAATCTCCATAAATCATGTCCCTCTGACTGTTGTTGACTCAACCAGAATCCTAGGCGTTACCATAGACTGCCGCTTGACCTGGACACCCCATATTGATGGCATTGTGCGTAAGGTGCCAAAGACGATAGGCGCTCTCTGGCGCTCTTTCAGATGTTTGTCAATACCTGCTCGCCGTTCCTTCATTCTTGCTGTCATTCTCCCGGATCTTTTGTATTGCTCCCCTTCTTTCCTCACGAAGTTGTTTGCTCAGGATATGAACAGATTACAATCACTGTTTCGGCGTGCTGTTCGCGCAGCATGTGGGGCTGATCACTTTGATGACCCTGGTACATTATTATGCAGGTTATCGCTGTTTCCTTTTCATCAATATGTGCTAATGTCCTTTGCTAGATTTCTACATCGCAATTTTGTCTCTCACCCTCTATCTTCGCTCTCCTCCCTCTTCCCCAAGCCTCGTGCTGCCCGTTGTACGAGGAGCCAAACCATCCCATCCATTGCAGTGAACAGATTTCGTACTTCTGATGTTGTCAATTCTTTTTCTAACCGTGCTGCATTGTTCTTTAATGCACTACCCTCTGAACTCTGCAGTTCTTCACATACTCAGCATTTCATGCAGAAATTCAACAACTTTTGAAGGACCCAATGCAGGTCGACCGCTTTCTTAACTTCCTTTTTGGCCGCGTTACCAATGTGTAGTGAACGTTGTGTATCCTTGAGTGACCGTTGTATATCCTTATTGACTTCTTTTTCCTTGGTGCAAGTCACACTCCATGTATGTTCTTCATTATCTTTACCTTTACTGGGTCTTCACATTGTCTATAGCCTCATCTTTTTCCTTTTCTTTTTCCTTTTTGCCTCATCGGCACTCTTTGAATTTGTGTGTCAACACTGTTGAGTTGTTCAATGTTTAATAAATACTACTACTACTACTACTAATAGTAGGTGTTTCATTTTGACCCGACGAGACCATACGACGCTTGCAGATCACAGCACGAACAGTTCACCAGCCACACTCCACGAAAGCAAGTAGTACTAGTAGTACTCCTGACAAGTCTTGTTTCGTTCCATAGAGATAATAACGGGGAACTCATCAGAGGAGAAGCAGTTGTTAAATGAAGGGGTTTAGCTGAATAATGCTATTTTATAGACAAGATATTGGCGCACTGAGGTGTAAACACTCAAATAACTCACATATGTGACATATCAACACAAAAGGAATAGTGCAGAATGGAGGTGTTCTGAACCCTACCAGACACAACTATCACAAGTGCTAAATCATTCACAATGAGAAGGAGAGGTACACAGGAATAGGTTGCGCTAGTTTACACGTCACAAATGGTACTGAGGTAGTGACAAAGATAGGTGAAAAGTAGACGCCAAGTGAAAGCCAACAAATCATCACGAACGTCTAACGTCACATCTGAAGATTGCTAGCGGCACAAGACAAAATACTTCACAAACCTCGATAATTGAAAGGAAGGCTGCTGGGTGTGACATAGAACTGTGGGCTGCTGAGGCGACGTATCCATCCTGATCTTGACTGCAAGGTTGGCGTCTAACGCTAAAATCCGAGCAGCAGATCAAAACCTTCCTCTGGTCAATGATTTTGTGATTATTTGTTGGCTTTCACTTGGCGTCTACTTTTCACCTATCTTTGTCACTACCTCAGTACATTTGTGACATGTAAACTAGCGCAACCCATTCCTGTGTACCTCTCCTTCTCATTGTGAATAATTTAGCACTTGTGATAGTTGTGTCTGGTAGGGTTCAGAACACCTCCATTCTGCACTATTCCTTTTGTGTTGATATGTCACATATGTGAGTTAGTTGAGTGTTTACACCTCAGTGCGCCAATATCTTGTCTATAAAATAGCATTATTCAGCTAAACCCCTTCATTCAACAACTGCTTCTCCTCTGATGAGTTCCCCGTTATTATCTCTATGGAACGAAACAAGACTTGTCAGGAGTACTACTAGTACTACTTGCTTTCGTGGAGTGTGGCTGGTGAACTGTTCGTGCTGTGATCTGCAAGCGTCGTATGGTGTCGTCGGGTCAAAATGAAAAACCTACTACTACTGTATTTGACGGACCTATTGAAGATGGCACAAAGAATTACTACTACTAATGTCTGCACCAGAGCCGGGCCAGTGGGGTTAGCGACCTGGTTGCGGAGGGGGGGGGGGGGGGGGGGAGGGGTGCGTACTTGGACACGTTTAGACAAAGAACGTCTGGTTACTTGTTACTCTGTTGGGACTACATCTTCTACATAATACATGTACATCCGGGAGTTCTAAAACATTGATGGCTCCCTGATGTACATGTCTGTGCAGTAGCCGCACTTGAACGTACCTTTGTCTTTGACCCGGTGGGTGCAGTTGTGCCCGGTGCATGTGTGCCTGGGTGGTTGGAAATCCTAGAGCAGACACTGCATAATTATGGGTAGTTAGGTGGTTGGAAATCCTAGAGCAGACACTGCATATGGGTAGTTAGGTACTTACATTGCCAGAAGAAGAAGTCCTGTTGAGAGCAACTGGTAACTCTATGTCTGCTGCAATTCCATCGTTTGTTACCCCTGCATTCCACACTGGTGTATTGGATAAAAAGTTCCACTACTCCCTCTTCCTGCTTTGGAGCCTGTAAACACCATACAGGACACAGGAAGTAAAATATGAAAAATAAATGTCGATATTCTAGCTGAACCTGTAGCTCTTTGGTCCTCTTTTCTTCCTATAAATGAAACCTTGGCTCAGCCATGCCAAATCTAAATGTTTACAAGCTAATTCATTTGAGGGATGTTGAAAACAGGAAAATACTTTTACAAGCTGAGCTGCGCATTACTTTTAACCTTGGTCGACATTCGAAATTTGACGTCGGTCGATTGCAAACTCATTTTTGGATTGGATTGGATTTTTATTTATAGTGGTGACTATAACAGACAATTGCCTAATAACCATAGAGTCAAAAGGTCAAAGGTCAAAGGTGTGTGTATTTGAAAGTACTGTTTTCACATATCAAACTTGGTAAAATATTGAGCAGCACATGTACTCTCCTGATGTGACATCACTGTCGTTCTCCAAAACGGCCAAAATTCAATCCTGATGGGTCCAAAATTCCCAAAAAAATCAAAGTGCGAAAATCCAACCAAAATTCAAAAATAATTGAAAACATTTTGTGGACAAGCCTATTGAGGAGTTCCTGCTGCAGCGCTATCTAAGTAGTACTAGTCCCACTCGAGGGAAAGATGCAAAAAGATATGAATAATTAATATAATAGACTACCGGTATTGGATAGGTGATCATGTTCGCATTTTGCATAGCTGAAAGTCATAAGTACTAGCGTGAAAAAGCAAGGCATTGGGGTAACAGTTTCTTAAAACGGGCAGAGTTATCATCATACTTTGTATTATTTCATGAACAATCTTCAGCATAGAAAAGTAATAAATTATCCCTCACAGTCAATAATGCGCTGGGAACAAAACATTTGCCTACAGAGGATGGATAAGTCAATATAGGGTTGATGCTATCATTATTGCAATCCATACACTTACATCTGCAGAATATTCCAGCATACGAATGTCGAGCAAAAGTAGTGCAACATAATTCCTCTAATAGACACCCTTAGCAAACAACGGTAACACTATTTTTTACAGTACTCGTACCTTGATCACCCAAATAGCGTTGAAGCTGCAGCGTAAAAACGTGAGGCTGATTCATCGTTGTGATAAACGGTACGTGTTTAGGCCAAATATTGCGTAGAGCGTACCCATTCCACCTTGTATCGCGTATATGGTGCCATAAATGGTTGTACCGCACGAATTAAAAGCTTCTCTCATGGCACCTGTGTACTAAAATAAACGTGCATCTAAAGGTCAAACCCAAATCTCGGTGTTTTCCACTACGGTACTATCGTTGCAACATAACGTTTTTTGCTAAGGGTGTCTATTATTATAGCACAGAAACCCCTAAGCACACTTACGAGGATCACATTAGACCATGGTCATGAAAGAAGAATGTCACGAAATTTTCTTACCTTGACATTGATTGCCGCTAAAGCTGAGCTCAGGCGGATAGAGTGGATCTCCTTCAGTTGGCTTGGTGGATCTGCTCAGACAGCATCATCAAAAACATCACATTGCACATCGAACAAGGCCTGATGGTCAGAAATGTCCAATTCGTGAGCACATATTTTCAAGGCATGGGGGGGGGGGGGGTGAGACGCCACAAGACTATACCATACAAAGTTAGCGGATGAATTAAAGGGGAAGTTCACCCTGAAGTGAAAACTTCTCATCCTGTAGGGAAAATTCACTGATTCCAATGGTGGTGGTCCGAAGTTGATCGGAGCAGCCGTTCCCGAGTTATACATGTACCAGCTTGAAGTTTGCACTAAATTTGGTGGCATAATGATGACATCATTAACTCGCCCAGACCAGATTTATGAGATCAGAGATATAGACGTAGTATGGGAGTAGATGGCGAAATTTCCGTATTTTTGCTCTCCATTGTCACAAAGAAGTCGGATGGTTTTTTTTAACTCCGGCATTGGACATATCGCACTCCAACAGTATCCCGGCTGGAATAAAATTCTTGTATGAAATTCATTGTTGCAGAGAAAAAGAAAGGAAATTGGTTTTTTCCCATCTACTCCCATACAAAGTCTACCTCTCTGACGTCATAAGCCCTGCCTAGTCTGGGCAAGTTTATGATGTCATCAAAATGTCACCTAGTTTAGTGCAAACTTCAAGCTGGTATAACCCGAGAACGGCTGCTCTGATCAACCGGGGACCATCACCATTGGAATCAGTGCATTTTTCGCTATGAGTTGTGAAGTTTTATTTTTGGATGAACTTCCCCTTCAAGGGTAACGGAAAAGTGAGCAGATCCGGGGTTACTCATTGGTGTGTGAGAACCACTGAACCTTACACAAGCATAATTCTCCTTTCGGGTTGCTAGCGTTTTTCTTCAGACTTTCCACACATGGTCTCATGTCACAGTAATCACTGGTTATATGCAATATTTTTTCTCTGTTTTCAGCCTGAGAATGGGCCATGTCCGAACATTTGTTGAAAGGTTGATGGCGTATGCAGCAAAGAGACCATATTTTGATTGTTTGTGTTCAGGTATCCTAATGTGTAATGAGTAAACGGCTGTACTGGGTCTGTGAGTAATTAGAAAAATGTACAATCTCATCACAAACAACTCCACCTTGGATTGTTAGCGGGTTCTTCGTTGGGTTCGAGGGACTGGGTGAGTTCTCTGTTGTGTTTGAGAGGTTGGATGGACTGGATGAGTTCTCTGTTGTGTTTGAGGGGTTGGATGGACTGGACGAGGTATCCTTTGGGCTTGAGGTGCTGGATGGACTGGACGAGGTCTCCATTGGGCTTGAGGTGCTGGATGAACTGGACGAGGTCCCATCATCTGACCTGCTGCCATTGGCGCTAATCACCGTATGCGAGCGGGGTCCCGCCTCGCCTTTGTTGTTTATTGCGCGGATGAAAACATAGTACGAATGTCCCGCACAGAAGTCAATCACCGTCAAAGGTAGACTGCTCTCGTTCACATCTTAACAGGGCACAACACAGGGCAGATGACAAAGCGAGCATGAAGTAAGCGTGACATCATAATGACCTCATCAGGATCCAAACCTCAAGCACATGTAGAACCCACGACCTCATAATGACATCATTCTGCATGGCGCACACAATGGAGCATAAAGCAGGCAAGATGACATAATATCCTCATTGGTTCAGTGCTTATGCAGTCATATAGAAGCCATAATCTCATAATGACATCATGTATGGAGGAAACAAAGGCCACACTCCTTCTTTGAATAGTCTTCTTGGAGATAATAACCGAAATAGCCACGGAAGGAGACGAAATGACAGACCCACCAGAAGTCGAACCTGGAACCTTGCTTGTCATGAGCAATGCTCTAACCAATTGATCTATGAGAGCAAACGGAACCCGGGAGGCGAGGACAAGCTGTCCACTCCAAAAGGCAGCTCACAACAAGTACCACACATAATGATGGCACTTGTGTCTGTTTCCCTCCCCCAGGGGATGATCCACGGTCAGTTTCTCGAACGTAACACCAGAGGTGAAAGAAAGTGATGATTTTTTGAAGACAAGCAAGGTCCCCGGGTTCGAGTCCTGGTGGTTCTGACATTCTCTTCTTCTCTTTTCAGGCAGTTCGCTTCCCCGATTGATCCTTTGAATTTGAAGTTCTCCCACTCCATTAAAAATAGCGATGAACAAAATTAAACTCACGCTCAACGCGCTCATGTCAAACAACAAATGTTATGGAACAGAACATTTGCTACTTTGTTGTTGTACATGGCGCGTGTTTAATTCTGTTCAATTCTTCGAACCAGTGATAAAATCTGGAAGTGCACGAAGACCAGCAACAAGCTTCAGTGACAATAGTCTAGCAAAACAATTTTCAATATACCCCGGTATATCACTCAGTATGTCGCTTTGGAGGATATGCCGAAACAAGACTGTCACGAAATACCCTTCAGGTATGGAACAAATGGGGACGCTGCGATGGTCAATAGGATAAAGAATAATAATTTCACAAATACCAGTAGTCAAAGTGAAATTGCACCATTGCATTGAACGCGGTTGGAGGAGTTGTGCCAGGTGCATGTGCACCTAGGTGGTTGGAAATCCTAGAGCAGACACTGCATATGGGTAGTTAGGTACTTACATTGCCAGAAGAAGAAGCCTGATAGAGCGCAATTGGCAACTCTAGGCCTGCTGCAAGCCCATCGGTTGATATTACTAGTACAGCATACCGCGCTGGAGTAGGAGGATTCATATTCCCGTACTTGCTCCTCTTGCTTTGGAGCCTGTAAACACCACACAGGACACAGGAAGCAAACATGTGCAAACAAATGTTTACAGGCTAATTTTAAGGGAAGGATGCAAACAGGAAAAAGTCTTCTACAAGCTCAGCTGCTTTAATATCACTTGAAAAACCTGAATTGACATTGCTCTATTGCAAACTCGTCATACTTTGTAAAATTTCACAAACAATCCTCAGCATTACGAAGTAGTGGTTGCGACTTCGGCGATGATTTGTAAGAAAGGGTTTGCTCCCCACACCGGAGCTCGCGCTATTCCGCCGACTTTACTTGACACTTGACTGACTCACGACTGCCATCCAGAGCACACAAGAAGTCCATCAAACCTTCGACTCGGCAAACCTGCAAGAAGGCACCACTCCCTGCTCAATACACAGTGGTTCGGGGAATTCACCATTCATCAGTTGAGCTTGAGTAGGCTGAGGAAGATTGTGCCTGAAGAGCACCACTTATATAGTGCTCTCCAGGCACAAACATCACCAGGGATACAAACTTACAGAGACGCTCCGTTTCCAGCGCGACAAACACCTCCTGAACACCAGATAGCAGCGTGAGTAAGTGTCGCTCCTGGACGGTGAGACAGACGTGGAGAACCCTCAGTGGACTTCTTGTGTGCTCTGGATGGCAGTCGTGAGTCAGTCAAGTGTCAAGTAAAGTCGGCGGAATAGCGCGAGCTCGGTGTGGGGAGCAAACCCTTTCTTACAAATTCTCAGCATAGAGAAATAATAAATTACCCTGCACACTGTAGATTGGAAAACGTTTGCTCGAGATTAAACTTTGCTATTTTGCGACAATCACACATCCGCGAATATAAATCGCCGCAAACTGCTCTGTACTTTGATTGTAGACAAAACAAGATTCAACTGATAAGACGAAAAAGGTTCTCATCGGGAACCAGCGCAAACCCTGAAAAAGCAAAATTTGCACGGCAAGAAAGTTTATCGCTTTGTAGTAGTCAATAATGCCCTGGGAACAAAGCATTTGCTTGCAGTGGATGAAAAGGTCAATATTTGTAGTGTATGGTTCATATCAACTTGTTGCAATCTATGCAAAACGATCTGCAGAATATTCTAGGATACTCGTGTAGAGCAAAACTAGCAGGCTCCCGCAAGAACCAATTCTCTTCTGATCTCCTTGAAACCGAAATCAAATTCTGTCGTATAATGTCAATTACTATAATGTAACAAGTTACTAAAGTTACGTAACAACCGAGTATTGTCCTTGGTGTTCTGTGTCCCTGAGAATGGAATGGCTGTGATTGAGTTACAACCCTCTGTGTAAACTGCAGGTATATCCACTCAATCTTTGATCTATTACTTCGTTCAGCAGCATAATTTCTCCATCCTCTACGCTAGGAAAATGTCCTGCCACCCTGGCGTTTTAAAACTCAGTCTATGTCCTGCCTAGCTTGATTTTCTTCATTTGTTTTCCTCATGGGCCAGGGCATTGTCAAAACAAAATTAACACTCAATCCCGGCACAGAAAGTCATTTTGAGTGCTTCAGGTCTGTTCAGCAGAGATCGGGGTGACTTGCCAAACAGATCACACTGAGAAAGGAAAAAAGAAAGGAACATATGGATACGAGTTATGAGGACGAATTGTAATAAACCTAGAGCCAGTATCCTACAATACTGTACTTATTTGTGACAGTGATGGACTAACTAACTGCAATAACATGAATGTAACTCGGATGTTGAGCCATAAATAAATGTAGAAGAGAAAAGAACATATGGATACGAGTTAAGAGTATCTCTCCATCACTGTAACATGATATTATATACAGTCAGAAAGTGCAATAACTAGGCACAAAACTGACAGAGTACTGAGACATTCGACGTCCTGACACCTAACTTCAACACATCTCCGTAGCGCTAACCGACAGCCTTCCAACTTGGAAGGTTCAAGGTTATGGAAAGACCAAAGAGGGGAAGGCAAGCGCAACGAAAACGAGCAAAAGCTAGAGTCCCAACGGAACAAATAATGTCGATTGCTACTGGACGATGACGTGACCAGTACGATATTTCAAATTGCACACCTGATGAGCCGTCACGAACCATACGGCGAAACGTACGTCGTGTGAAACAACTTATTTTGTAGTCAACTAGTCCATCACAATGTCATGCATGAGGAGTACTGTAGGAGTTTGGCTTTCGGCTTGTACAATTCGTTTTCGCAAAGCTTCCCTTTCTTTACTTATCTTGGATATTTATGACCCACCCAAGTTGGGTGGTGTGCTGCTTTGCTGCTTCTAATTGTAGTTAGACCGCTTTGTCAAATATCGTACTGGTCTCGTCATCGTCCAGTAACAATCGACATTCTTTGTTCCGTTGGGACTCTAGCTTTTGCTCGTTTTCGTTGCGCTTGCCTTCCCCTCTTTGGTCTTTCCATAACCTTGAACCTTCCAAGTTGGAAGGCTGTCGGTTAGCGCTACGGAGATGTGTTGAAGTTAGGTGTCAGGACGTCGAATGTCTCAGTACTCTGTCAGTTTTGTGCCTAGTTATTGCACTTTCTGACTGTATATAGTATCATGTTACAGTGATAGAGAGTTACTCTTAACTCGTATCCATATGTCCTTTTCTCTTCAACATGAATGTAGAAAGGAAAAAGGACATATGGAAACGAGTTAAGAGTAACTCTCCACCACTGTAACATGATACTATATACAGTCAGAAAGTGCAACAACTAGGCACAAAACTGTCTAGAGTACTGAGACATTCGACGACCTGATACCTAACTCTCGAACATCTCCGAAACGCCAACCAACAGCCTTCAAACTCGGAACGCTCTAGGTTAAGGGGGGAGTTGTGTTGGAGCTAGGTGTCAGGTCGTCGAATGTCTCAGTACTCTCCACATTGTTGTGCCTAGTTGTTGCATTTTCTGACTGTATATAGTATCTAGTTACAGTGGTGGACAGTTACCCTGAACTCGTAACCATAATTATGTTCATTTTTTCTCTCCTTTCTCTACATGTTATTGTCTCAACATCTGAGTTTCAGATCACACTGAAGGCGAATTAAGGCTAATTTAACCAAGCATGTTTACACAGCGTCAACGTTCACAGCCAATTGTGATTTTTAAAGAGTGTGCCATGTTCTTTGCCAATACAATCCAATACAGCCAGGCGTTAACGTGGAGGTTCAGTAGCAACTCTGCGTTTCACTGGAATTCGCCATCGCAGTTGCAATGCCTGAGGGTTATCTGAGGCAAAAGCTCAGAATAGCAACAGAACTGCCGCTCTCCATAATTCCGGTTGCATTGTCTGATGGACACAAGATGTTGTGAGACTTAGAGATGCTATAAAAGTCCTGGTTTCTTTGTTGCTGCATGCTCATATCAACCTTTTGAGTTAACTATTGCAGCTGATCAGTCCACATCCATGCAACTGCAATTTGCAATAGAACAGAACTGCCAGCCATGGCAACTATAGCGGACAACATTAGCGAGAGAGCGATGAATCCCCCAGCACCAAGAGTACAACATAATCTCCTCTAGTTTTCCGTACAGCACAGAAACCCCTATTCCCACCTACGAGCATCGCGCTGTATTATGGTCATGCATCCATTTTTGCGGTGAAAATATTCTTACCTTGATATGGATTGTCACTGAACC